GTTTTACATCAATAAAGAGGTTAATTCCTTAAACTTCAGAACTGACACCCAGAACCTTAGTTCTATTTACAGTTACCTTGTTATGAAGGACTGGGGTAGAAGGGATCAAACATCGATTGAGGGTGATTCTTTGGTTTTCTAGTTCTTTTTCGGTTTTTGTTTCCTTTTTCATATTTTCAATTTTATTCCCCCTCTCAACGCCACCTAGTGGTTACTTTTAGTGTATTTGGTGTTTTGNGAGGTGATTTGAGTTACGTAATGAAGTTCATTACCGCACTGGTTTCATTACGTAACGCATTTTTAGCCTAATCAGAACAGACTTAATTTATTGAAACGAGCAACAATACAAAAGAAAAAGTGCTATCTACTTACAGAGAAACAATACTATTTATTATAAACATTAATTGTTATGTTTTTACATTTTAAAACATTTATTCCAGATGAGTAACATGTTGTTGAAACTGACATTTCAAAATTATCAACAATCATTTCAAAATATTTTTATAAATGTCAAATAGACTTTTTTAAAGAAATTGATTTTTTAGTAATTTTTAGCAGTCGTAGATAAAATGCTGTATATCACACGTGGGCTAGAGCATAATTACAGTACTCGTGTGATTACACTCGTGCAATTCTCCACACTCATACTGTAATTATGTTTCTAACCCACTTGTAATAGTATAAATAACTATTATTTTATCGTAAACGAAACAATTGTAATAATGTTATAAACATTGAGGGTGCGTATACGCATCTTTGGCTGAAAACAAATATTATTGAAATAAAGTGAACTAATAGTTGTAGTTTTAGTTTTTCTGTGAACCTTAAAATTAATTTTCAATCAAGACTGCAACAATGAGGTAAATGGCATAAAATAAATTAACTAAATTTTACAGTTTAGCAATTTATACGCGTCACAGATGAATGTTATGGACGAAATAAATCTAAAGAGATTTATTGGTATTTGTATTCTGTCTGGATATCACACGTTGCCACATGCGGATATGTACTGGTCAAAAGATAATGAAGTAAATAAGAAATAAATTTAGAACAATAAAACAAAATATTCATTTATTGGACAATACAAAATTGAATAAAAATGATAAATTTTCCAAGTTAAGAAATATATTTGACATCATGAATTGAAAATTTATGAAGTTTGGAGTTTTTGATCATAATCTGTCAATAGATGAAGAAATGGTTCCGTATTTTGGAAGACATTCCTCTAAAATGTTCATCAGTGGTAAGCCCGTTAGATTTGGTTTCAAGTTGTGGTGCCTATATTCTTACGATGAGTATCTATATCAATTTATTCCATATGGTGGGAAAGAACAAGAAAAACTTGACAAATACCTTTCTTTGGGAACGAGAGTTGTTTTAAAATTACTATCGGTGGTATAAACTCCACATCATAGAACATTCTTCGACAACTTCTTTTCGTCATACTCTCTTTTCGGTATTTTGAAAGAAAAAGGTTTTTTTTTGTAACGGGAACAGTACGAGATAATCGGGTGGCAAACTGTCCAATCGAAACAAAAAAAGTTATGAAGAAAAAACAACGAGGTTCATATATTTGTGTATTTGATTCCAATTTGGATGTATTGATGGTACAGTGGAACGACAACTCGGTCGTCACAATAATTACCAATGTTTATAAAGTACTCCTGCAGTACTCTTGCCGTTACAGAATCAAAATAAGAGGGAAAAAATGGTAGTGGCCATTGTTTGTCAACATGATAGATAGCGCAGTAGTCAACAGCTAGTAAATTTTTAAAATGGCAAACATCTAAAATGTCGCAATTACATTTTCGCTCCTCATTGGCTATAAGTTTGATAAAATTCGAAGGCCAATCTGAATTAACAAATGTTAACTCTTCTTCTTTTCACGGTAGATCATCAAGGCAAAGTTTACCGCAAGAGATAACATAGGGCATATAATAAAAAAATCGGAAGCCAATTCGAGAAAAAAGTGTAAAGTCTGCAAAAGCCATACAATATACTTTTGCAAAAAATGTAAAGTACACCTGCGCGCTGATTGTTTTGAATATTTTCATATTAATGTATAATTTTAGTTATTAAATTGCTCTGATTTTCCAAAGTTTGAATAAATTATTTTTTTCTAAATGACACGGTTATTTGTCAAAGGTGCGTATACGCCCCCCATTTATTTGAAGCATAATTGATTTTTTTTTAGAACATACTTCAATATTATCTTATTGAAGATAGTTTATGTAATATTCAATCAATTTTTAAAAATAAAAACGGATTTTTGTGGTCGTGGCTATAAATGGGTTAATACAACTTCTATACAAAACGAATTTAATTTCATAAATAAACTTGCTATAGAAAATAACTATCCCCCAAATATAATTAACAAAATACTATATATAGTATTTTATAATAAAATCAGACCCATTGTTCACTATGGATACTAATAAACACACCACATATCTATATAATGACATAAATTATAAAATTAAACGTATTCTAAAACAAATTAAAATCAATATTGGTTTTAAAAATAACTACAAACTTATAGATATATTTTCTAACTTCAAAAGCAAAGAACATAATATATGTTAAATAAAAATGGTGTATATTCTATTAAATGTAAAGAATGTGATGCTTTATACATCAGTCAAACAGGTAGAAAACTCGCAAAAAGAATTAAGGAACATAAAAATACTTCTTCATCAAATGTTTACCAGCATAAAATGGAATTTAATCATAACATCGATAACTGTAAGAAGGGTAAAAAATTAGACTTATTAGAACAACTTGAGATAGATAAACACAAACATAAAAAACAAAAATTAATGAACGATTAGCTTTGCTCCATTTATAAACCTTTATACTCATATTTAAAATTCTAGTTTTTAACATATCTGTGAAACTTGTTTTATTCTTATGTGATTGCTCCATTTTAACCTGTGGTGTCGTTCAGTGTCCTCCACATTACATCTTTATTTTCCGTTGTTATATTTTTTAAATCATTTTATATTGTGACTTATTATTTATTTGACTGTAAGTTTATTTATTTTATTTCATTCTATATAGTTTTAACTATAATTTCGCTTGTAGATTTAGCTGATGATGATAAGTAATTATCGAAACCAGTACTAAGTACATTTATTAAAAACAAACTGAGAAAGAGCTCATTTAATTTTTACCTTATTTTAAATCATACACCTCAGTGATTATGGATTTATTAAAAGANAAACCAGGGCGAGAAAAAATTATAATTTCCTTTCTTTAATCAAAATTAACAGTATACTGGATTGTCTGCAAATACATATTATACAGTATGTCCCCGGATCGAGTTACAAAGAGGAAAAAAAAAATTTATTACTGATTTTTCAAACTTATCTCAGCATACATAATGCGTCGGATATGTTCAAACCACTATAGAAGTTAACTAATTATTCCCATTTTTATGTAAAAATAATAGAAACCAATAAAATAAAATAAAAGTTACAACTTATGTTAGTAAAAACTATACGGACAAATCAAATTAAAATATGGCTAATTGAATAAAATAGTAAGTAATATTATTTATTTGTAAGTGAACAAATCCTCATTCAAACAAATTCCCTCCCAATTTGGCACACATTTGAAGACGAGTTCTAAATTCTTTATAAGAAGTACGAATTTCCGCCAGTGGTAGAGTTTCTATCGCTTTAATTATTCTTAGTTTTAATAGTTCTGCATCATCTTGTAATGGTTCACTGTAAACAATTTGTTTCAATCGTCCCCAAAAATAAAAATCCATAATTGTAAGATCAGGACTATGTGCTGGTGACCATATAAAATTTAAGGATAATTGGATTTACATCGCTCCAATAACTACAATGCTGGGAAGAAACAATGTTATTTGTTGAAAAGCTATCTGAAAAGCAGCGTCTTCCTCATTTAGTCTCTTTGTCTGCCTCTTTATGGATAATACAGAACCCGTTTCCAAAAATTTTTTGATAAGTTTGCGAGCCCCAACATGAGATATTTTTGTGTCCGGATATTTTTGCTGGAATTTTTGTATAACTACACGAAAACATGATTCACTAGTACCATAGCACAGTACTAAATAAATTCTCTCTTTCATGGTTAACATCACATGAAAAGACTTAATCTCACCAACATAAGTTGTAACTTTTATGGTTTCTATGGTTACATATCATAAATAGAAAAAAGTCCAATTTTTACATAAAAATTGAAATAATTAGTTAACTTTTATAGTTAGAGTATAAGATTCATGCGATTTAGTAGTTTGAACATATCCGACGCATTATTTATGCTGAGACAAGTTTGAAAAATCAGTAACAAACATTTTTTTCCTCTTTGTAACTCGATCCGGGGACATACTGTATGTAAGTTAATGGGAAAAACTGTTAAAAGTAAGTGAAGAAAATAAAAAGGAAATTTATCCTACAATATACCCACCAAAAAATACCTAATATTAAAGCCAAAATCCATGGGACTTGACAAATTGTAAAAAAGTGCTTCCCTATCTGATGCTGTAAAAATGTGAAAGGAATTAGGAAGTGTACTTGAAGAAACGCATTCATCATTTATAAATTTAGCATATAACAAAATATAAATTGATGATAGAAGAGAATCATCTTGCTTTCTGAGGAAGTTATATCCAATGTTACTACTTTGCAATGGCCTGATAGGGAGAAACTTCTCCCAACTTTAAAACAATTTTTATGTGCTGTGTACTGCTTAGCTTCAGTAGCAATAAATTGGAAATGAAAAAAGCCAGCAAATTAGAATTTTTATATAAACTTTGCAATTCCTATGCATTGCTTGTTTTTGTTTTTGTTTAAGTATGTATTGTTTTTGTTTGTCTTAGTTTTTAGTAGCCTGATTTTGATTTTCATTTCTCTTTTGATTTAAATTATGGATTGATATAAAAAAATTACTTGATCGAAAATTCTAGATAAGAATATTATAGAAATTGCATACTGAAAATAAAAATTAAAAGAAAAATTATATTTAATACATACCACTTGATAATTAAATACTTGACAATAAGCAAAACTGGATAAAAATCCTTTCTTCACTGCATTATCTCCAGAAATACATAAAAAATACATACACTTGTTGCATATAACTTATAATACGGTTTCATCCCTTGATAATGTACTCTACTAAAACAACAAAAACATTCATAAAATAAATTTATAATTAAACCTTGATGATAAAAACTTGGAATATTACAATCTTACTCTCAAGTTGCGTTGGATGATCGCTTGAAAATATCCTTTTTACTTCCTTTTTGTTCGGATTTATGTAAAGGCTGAGGTCATCTTCTTTATCGAGGCATCCTTCTTATTCAATAAATAACGAGAATCCTTTTAAAAATAAATAATTAGATGGAGTTATAATTTAAAAGAAACAAATTATTACCTCAACATTTCTTTATCATACATTATATGTATGTACATTAGCAAAGAACTGTATCATTTCAGCAGTAGCTGCTTTCTCGTCCAATTCATATTCACTCGTCTCAATTATGGAAGTGCCCAATTCCTTTTAAATAAACGTAATGAAATCCAACGTAATTAATTACGCAGTAAGAAGCGTACTCACCTCAACACAATTTGGATCCATTTTATTAAACAATAATAAACGCGGTTTAAAGAAAATGAATTCCTCCCTCTCCGGTGTTTGGAGTTATAAATACTCTTCGAGGTTCTAAATGAAAAATAAAGGATTAAAAAAAATGTTTGAAAAATTGAATTATGTAGAACAGCCTGTACAAAGAAAACTGTCATCCATTTGCGACAACACAAATCAAAGCAATGATACCAACCGTAAATAAATAAAATTACCAACCTCAACAGAATTCTTCAATCATACCTACTTGCTGTCATACTCGATTAATTGTGGAGCAATAATTCTAGTAAAAATCAAATCTAACGAAAATTCTTCAAATGACGAGCTTCCCATTTTCGTTTAAATTTAAAATACACGAAATCTCCGAAGGATTTCAAACTTGTCTGTTGTGTGAGTCACTTGTTCGCCATCCGACATTATTTTACTTTATTTTTCTTTGTTATCTTCTTAGAACCTTGTATTTCCATTATCTTTTTTTCTTAAAAGAAAAACATTACTTTTTTACTTTACTTATGCAATATTACATACAGAGATTAAGAAAAATATCATTGTTTTGGATAGGTTAAGTCGTAAAACCCTAAAACAGATGTAAAAAATTTACAGAAGAGGTCGGTTTTGGAGAAATGTGAGTTGGGTAAATACCCCTACTCCATCCTAGCAGAGATGTTTTCTGGACCGTTGAGAAGGCTAAAATATTCATTCTTATTCTAGCAACTGTGTTGTGTTGTTAAAACAGAAGTTACCGAGTGAACTTATTTGAGACCGTATTTGTGTTTTTAAACAGTGTTTTTTTTTAATTCTTGAAATATATTTTTTTAGTTTTAAGTGTTGTCTTTTGCTGACAGTTTTTATTTACGGTAAGTTAGTATTTTTACAGTTCACGTCTTTTTTATTGATTTATGTACGCGAGGAGCAAGTCTTCTGCAATTTCTTTTTGTGATTATATCCTACATCTCATCGATTGCGTTCATTTACCTTTAATATTCAAAATATTTATTAATTACGTACGCACGTATAACTGTAATCCTATTATAGAGCGTTGGGAGACTCGTCTTCGCGCATAAAATCGAGATATGATAAGGAACGTTTTTCATTTTTAGTGAATCTTTGTTCTATTCGACTGAAAGAAGTCATGAAACAAAATTGACCTTAGTCAATTGTTTAAATTTTAACCAGTGACGTATCCAAAGAGCTTGCATATTTCATTTCAAGCTTAAACGCAAATGCGCCCACCTCCTTTCTTTAGTTTTATGACGGTGTTTTATGAGGGTGCAAAAAAAAACTCCAACTACTGTTTATAATGAATTTTAAAACCTAAATTAATATTCAATATTCGGGAGTGCTGGGCGATAATCGGCCGGTGATCCGGTCTGTTTTCGTTCTCGGTTTCGACAAGGTTGTTAGAAAAAAAGACAGCGTGTTGCCTTGATTTGAAGTTTTAGTGTTTACAACTGCTTCTATAATGCAATTTTTTTGGTCATTACGAGTTTGAGTGACGCTCCGCTCCGCGGGTTAGAGATTAGAGATCTTTTGAAAGATAGACGCACGATAAATTAGCCATTTGAATCGCGAGCGTGTGTTTTAACGAAATGTACTTCACGTCAGGTTCAAGTACCGAATGATGAGTTTATTACAAAGCCTACACCGTTTAATGACAGTTACGGTTCGTGATGAAGTTCATATGAGGTTAATAATGTTCAGACCCGCACACCGCGCAATAGATCTAACATTCGTACTTCCCTTTTCAAAAAGCTTCTCGATAGCTTCTAACGTCAAACTGCGAGCCGAAAGAAAGTTCATGAATTGTGATAACGTCGAAGGCACCCATCCAAGACGGGACATCTAAGCGATTCTAAAGCTACCTTGACTTGCGTAAATCAATTAAATTAAACGATTTAATTCGATTCGAAGTCTTTAATTTTGAATTTTCAATGAATCTACTCGATATCGGAGTCTGATATGACGACATCACTGGTCTTCTTTCTGTTGAAATCTGCTTTTGCGCTACTATAGGAGTAGGACTGAAACTATTTTTTGTTATTGGCTGTCGGATGTTTTGAAGAAATCGTTGCTTTTGTGTGTTGTAATTTGCAATTTCTAATGCATATGCTTCTGCGATTTCGACGTCTTCTGGTTGTCGTAATTTAACTTCTAACCCGATGCTGTTGTTAATTAGATCCAATCCAAACAGATATGTCTGTTTCATGTTTCTAATTTCTACATCTTGTTATTAAAAAATTCTTTCTTGTTCCTAAAAATAGAAAGTAACATTAAGTCACTTCTGTGACATGTGTCATATTCTAGTTATTCTAATATATATTTGTTACCGAAGTGTGAGTCTATGTTGGAGCTTCGCGTTGCCGTAATTAGTAAGGGGATTATAGAGAGATTATAGTGGATTATAATTTGACTTAAATAGTCTGAAAGCCACTATAATCTCTCTTCAGATGGATATTGCTGCTCTGAAATCAAATGTTACTTCGCCATCTTCACATTCTTTAAACGATTTTGATTCCGAAAAAATTATACACGAAGTGATGGGACGCGCGCGTAGGAAGAATAAACTGATGATTTATAATATTCCTGAATCCGACGGCTTATCACGTAAGGAACAAGGTGATGAGCATTTTGCCTTTCTGGGCAAACTATTTACGCACTTGGGGTTACTGAACCTATTATTCAGCCTTTTCGCTGTGGTAAATTTTGCTCTTCTAATAGCGCGAGATGTAGGCCTATACGAGTAAAATTGTTGGATCATAATTCTTTTAAGCCTGTTTTTCGTAATATTTCGTAATAGCAATTTGAAATCCCATAATAAATTTAAGAACATTTCTGTCTTAATGTCTCTCGACTGAATTAAAAACAAGAACTGAGTCTGGCGAAAAGGGTTTGGTACTAGAGTACATCCGTGGCAGTCCCTCTATTGTCAAGGCTTCGGAAAACTGATTTTGCCCAACAAAATGTATCAATCTATTAATGTACATATATTATCAACATGTTAATGGTCTTCGCACAAAAACGCGTGAATTGTATGTTAATTGTTCTGATTGTATCTATGATTTGATTGTTCTATCGGAAACTAATTTAAATTCGTATTTTGGATCCAATTTATTCGTGGATAAGTACAGCGTCGTGGGAGCTGATCGTAAGCTTGATTTGGTTGGACATAATAGAGGTGGAGGACTTCTGCTTGCTGTATCTAGTCATCATGATGTTGAATCGGTTGAATCTACAGATATTCAGTCTTTAGTACCACTTGTCGATGTGTTGATTTGCAAGTGTTCTTTATGGTCAGTGATCTTATATATCCTGGTTGTAGATACCTCCTGATAATCCACAACCTGAGTTGCTATGTTTCTTGGACGCCCTAGAACATAAAGATTTAAATTTTCTTGTCCTTAGCCTTGNATTCATGATCAATCGGAGTTTACAAAGTTTGTATGGTTTAATATAATTTTTGAAAAAGGTTTAACACGTTAATCTTAAAATTACTCACTGTATGAGGTTCATTTGTTCTTCTTTTCTTCGTGCTTTTCTTGTTGTCCTGAAAATGTGATCGATGGACTAGGAATTGGCTGGAAATCGATTGCTCTTGTCCCTTTATACTTTTTCGTTTATCATTAAATTCTCAGTATACCGTTTCATTCCGAGTCTCACGGTTCTTCATCTTATCATATTAGTTTCTTAAATGCTATCGGGATGCAGCTGCATAACTCCCGTTTCAGGGATTTTTCCATAAACCGTATATAATGATTTTATCGCCTATATCCGTTACTTACGAACACACTGTATGTGATTTCATATGTAATTACTTTCATTTGATTTTCTTTCCTTAATCGGTTTAATTATAATTTTAATAGATATCTAATTTTTATTAATCTCTCGTTGGTGAATTTATCGATATTTTTAAGATCTAATAATGTTAGGGGTGGGGATGCGGATATCGTTCGTCCGTACCGCTTTTCCTCTTCCTCTTTCGCTATCGAGCCTTGGTGTAGTACGCTTGTTAAATTTTTGCGTGTTAATTAATAACCGCGTGGTTGTAGAAATTTTTACTGAAGATTCTCGTGATTGGTTTTGGAGATCTTTTTCTCGAATCGTTCGGATCTGTTCTACACCACTATTCTGGTCAATTGTTATTGCCGTGATCAGATTTTGTTCCGGCTTATTAAATTAACAAAAAAAATTAAATGAAAAAAAAAGGAACAGGATTTCCAGATAAGGTTTGAATATTTTTGTATAGAATCATAATTATTAAGTTTATTTTCTTTTTCATCTGTTTGCTCGAGTTTTTTAATTATTTTATTTTTTTGAGACTAAATGTTTGTGTTAATGTTTTTCTCTTTTCAGGTTATAATTTTGTTTAAATTCATTTTTTGATGAGAATCTTTTTGGAGATTTGTTATAGTAATTTTTTTTTGTTTGTTACTATAGATAGTGATTAATTTAGGAGCTGCTCTTCATTATACACGATTGTAAGAAGACGTACGCTTCAGTGCATCTCACGTGTTTTTAAATGATAATCTGCATATGGCGACGCAGCGTCGCGACTTCGTCTAAACATGTGAGCTGCATTTCGCCCGTGGCGTGGCGTAGGCAGTGCAACACAGTGTCGGTTGCTTGGCGTAGAGGGAACGCCGCGCCGTATAAATAATAATAATAGTAAAAATGGATATTTTACTAGAATACTCTAGAAAACATCGTAGCGAAAAAGCTTAGTCTGCAATAGACCCAAAAATGAAATACAATATTACTTCAATTCGATAAAAATTCGGGGGATATTCTTCCAGAAAAAAGGCTTGGACATTATCTGTGTTATATTTTTGAACGCGCATTTTTTGAGATAAAATTGATTTGTACAGGTGTCCCAAAATTGAGATACCTTGCCTAAGTTGACATTTTTAAATAGGAACGCCATCATTTTTTGTTGCATTTATGGCTTTTACGTAAAATTCTGAGTATTTTTCATGTTACACGATAATGTGTGTAATGTGCCATCTTTTTGTTTATGAAATTGTGTAAAACGCATGCAAATTATCAATATAATAATTTCATATTTTCGGACTCGTATAGGCCGATTAAAAAAATCTTAAATTTTTGAGTCATCATTCTAAACGTATATTAGTAGGTTTTCTGTGTTGACTATGTCTGTAATTGAAAATTCGCATTTTATTATTAATATTTCTTTCGGGGTATGGTCTCACAATATTTTGTCGTTTGGAAGTTCTGTTGGAGGTGGCAAAGTATTATTGCTTACCAACCAACAACCAAATGTGGAAACCAGAAAAAAGCCTCCATCACTATTTCGTTCAGCATATCCGCATTCTATTGTTGTGAACAGATCATAAGCATCACAACAGCAAAACAAAATAACTGAATGAAAGTTTTTATAATTAAAAAATATAATTAAAGTTGTTAAAATAAATTAATAAAATTTTATATAAATTTTATATATATTCATTTGCAGAACTTTAGCC